CCCTCTCTCTCCCTCTCCCTCTCCCCCTTTCTCTTTCTCTCCCTCCCTCTCTCTCCCTCTCTCTCTTTCTCTCTCTCCCTCCCTCCCTCTCTCTCCCTCTCCCTCTCCCCCTCGCTCTCCCCCTTTCTCTCTCTCTCCCTCCCTCTCTTTCTCCCTCTCCCTTTCCCTCCCCCTCTCTTCTCTCTCCCTCTTTCTCTCTCTCTCCCTCCCTCCCTCTCTCTCTCCCTCTCCCTCTCCCCCCTCGCTCTCCCCCTTTCTCTCTCCCTCCCTCCCTCTCTCTCTCTCCTCCCCCCCTCTCTCCCTCTCTCTCCCTCTCCTCTCTCTTTCTCTCTCTCTCTCTCTCTCTCTGAGCCATCTTCGGTTCAGTCCCTCTCTTTCGTCTTAAAAAGCATCCTCTCTTTTCTTCCCACGCATCCTAGGACCCTCTGATCCCAGCCGTAGCTGGTCACACCCTCACGGCGCGGCGCGGCTCATCCTTGCTTCTGATCGGTGGCTACTCTCCCGAGAACGGCTTCAACAAGAAACTGCTGGAATACAACGTGGCATCAGAGAGCTGGCACGCCGGGAACCAGGCAGGAACACCTCCGACAGGTAGATGATCAGGACGATGTCAGCAGGGAATTCAGGGGGAGGGTGAGCCTAGCACTGGAGTCATCGACACAGAATTTTGGAAAGGAACTCCAGGATCCATTACCAAGAGACGGCGGGAGTTATAAAGCCAGCTCTCTTTTTATAAAAACTTCCAAGGAAAGGAAGCCCTCCAAATTCCCCAGACTGCAGAATAGAGTAGAGTAGAGTAGAGTAGATAGAATAGAAGTAGAATAGAGTAGAGTAGAGTAGAGTAGAGTAGAGTAGAGTAGAGTAGAGTAGAGTAGATAGAATAGAATAGAATAGAATAGAATAGAATAGAATAGAATAGAATAGAAATAGAAATAGAAATAGAAATAGAAATAGAAATAGAAATAGAAATAGAAATAATAGAAATAGAATAGAATAGAATTAGAAATAATAGAAATAGAATAGAAGAGTTAGAAGGGAGCTTGGAGGGCTTCTAAGTCAATGTTTCTCAACCTGAGCAACTTGAAGATGGTGGACTTCAACTCCCAGAATTCCCCAGCCAGCCAAGTTGCCAAGCGTTGTGGCTGCCAGCCCCTCCAGCAGCCAAATCACAGGAGGAGGAAAAGGCGGCATGGGAGTCAGGGTCAGCATCAGAGCAACCTGAGAGCTCCAAGGGGGAAGAGGGAATGGAGCTGGCAGAGAGAGAGACAGAGACAGAGACAGAGGTGGCACCTGGGCTGTCTGTCAGCCCTGAGATGGAGAGTCCACAGCCCCCAGGTGTGGAGGTGGCTGATGAGGAATAGGAGGAACAGCCGGGTCCGGTGCCTGATGTGCAAATGCACAGAAGGCAGAAGAGAGGAGAGGAGAGCAGTGGAAATCTATGGGCTGATCCTTGGGACAGAAGAGCCACCGCTGCAAACAAGCCCCATCCTCACTCCACCCCCAGCTCTGGAGATAAAAGGCAGAGGGCCGAGATGAATAGATGTGGCAGACAACTGTTCGTGTCCCCTGCCGGACAGACTTGTTAGCTTGAGGTGAGAGGCTGCCAGGGCCCCTAATAAAGGAATCATTGCTTCAACTACAGAGGGTTTGGGGAGCTTGATCAGAACACCAAGGTTGAGGAACGGTAGCCCAAACAGGGATCCCCAAAGCCATACATATGAACTCCTGGCACTCCCGATTTCCTTTGCAGGTCTCTACGGCCACTCAGCTGTGTACCACGAGAGCACAGATGCTGTTTACGTCTTTGGCGGCCACCGTTTCCACGTGGAGATGGTGTCGGCTTCTCCTGAACTCTACAGCCTTTATTATCCCAACTTGACCTGGAGTTTACTGGCCCCGTCTCAAGGACCAAAGGTGAGAGCAGAACTAACAAGGACGCCCAGGTGGCCTTCGGAGGGAGAACATGGAGATGTTTCCTTTCGTTCAGGGGTGGGCAATTAATTTTCTCAGGGGGCCATTTCAGATACAAATAGCCCTCAACAACAGTTCATTTAGTGACCGAAGTTACAACGGCACTGAAAAAAGTGACCCACGGCCATTTTTCCTACGGAAGATCGTTGCAGCATCCCCCTGGTCACGTCACCCAAATTCAGATCCTCGGCGACTGACTCGTATTTATGACGGTTGGAGTGTCCCGGGGTCATGTGAATCCCTTTGCAGGGATTCCCTTAACAACAGTGGCAAGAAAGGTCGTAAAATGGGGACAAACCTCACTTAACAGATGTCAGCAACAGAAATGTTGGGGTCAGTTTTGGTTGTAGGTCGAGGACTACCTGTTGTAGAGTTGGGTGGATCTCACAGGAGGGGGGGGGGAATGGTGGCAGTGAGGAAGCAAGCATGGTTTTTACAGGGCTAACCTTTGATACCAATAAACCTCTTCTGACCAAGGCTTCCTGAGACAGTAACAATGACAAGCTGTTCCCCAAAATCTTGTTTTTATTTCAGTGGCAGTGAATTATATGCATTCACAGCCTGTAATGAGTCCCAAACAGTTTATGAATCGTCCAACAGAAGTCTGCCACATTCCTTCAGGATAAGGCTGATAAGCACCCACCTTTATCTCCCTTGAAATGCTGCCCACGACTAAATTGCCTATTAGCTGTACAAGGCCAAATGGAGCACAAAGTCAACACGGAGCTTCAGAGTTTAAACCTACCGGAACGAACAAAGTTGCTTCCTGCAAAGGCTCATGTCCCTTTGCTCCTCCTTTATGTCTTATGGGAGGCGCCAATCGTCTCCAAGCTTTACTTCCGAGTCCCCCCTTTTGTCTTAACTCTTTTTGCCTTCTGGCAGCTCTGTGCAAGCGTGCCCTGGAAACAGGCTCCCCCTGTTTCTCTTCCTCGTTGATGTCAGACTCTGGAGGCTCCGGAGTCAGCCACATAATTATCAGATGGTCCTGGCCCCATCCCTGTGTTGGATGCAGGTCCCTCGTCTGAGCCCTCCCCAGACTCCAGGACTGGCCCATGTTCCTCCCCGCTGTCCGACTCTGCTGCTAGCTCTGCAGGCCACCTGGCAGACCACAGCAACGCCATTTAGAAAACCCCTAAATATAATCCTGAATTGGGGGCTGATGGGACCCCCAACCGGGAAGAAGGAAGCATCTTCCAAGATGAGCCTTGGATGCCAATCAGATGCCAATCTCTCCATCCCTCTCCAGCCCCTGGCTCATTTCTTCCACGTGGCAGCCGTGCTGAAGGACACCATGGTGGTCATCGGAGGGCGGACCGAACGGGAGAATTTCACCAACCACGTTTTCTTCTACCAGCTGAATTGCAATACGTGGATCCTTCCCAACAGCACAGGTAAAAGTATAGGCAAGCTTACAACCTCGAGCAGGGGTCGGCAACCTTAAACACTCAAAGAGCCACAAAAGTCCTAACCGGAAGCCCCCCGTCAATTCTGGAGCCGACCGGAACTCCGGATCCCCCACCATAGAGTCTCCTCCTAGCGCGGCGTCCTGTTTCCTCTACCTGTCCTAACTGAAAGCCCTATCAATTGTGGAGCCGACTGGCGACAGGGAGCCGCAGCAGAGGGATGAAAGAGCCACATGCGGCTCCAGAACTACAGGTTGCCGACCCCTGTCCTAGAGTATATATCTAGAATAATAGAGTTGGAAGGGACCTTGTAGGTCATCTAGTTCAACCCCTGCCCAAGCAGGAGACCCTACACCATTTCTGACAGATGCGAGTCCAATCTCTTCTTGAAAGTCTCAAGTGACGAAGTTTTTGGCTGTTATCCCTTTAAGAGCCTGTATAATAAGAAGAGGCCCGCTTAGGGCATCTCTCTCTCTCTCTTTCTCTCTCTCCCCCTCCCTCCCCCTCTCCCTCCCCCTCCCCTCCTCTCCCCTCCCCCCCCCCCTCCCCCCCCCCCCTCTCTGTCTCCCCCTCTGTCTCCCTCCTCCCTCCCTCCCTGATGTAATTGCTGCTTGTTTGACCTCCGCCGGTAGTCTGTGTATGTGTAGTGTATATTCTTTTGTAGATAAAAATCACTATTTATTACAAGCCTCTGTTCGCTGTTATCGCTCCTGGGTTGACTTATGTAGTAAAGCTCTGCGCACTCGGGCGGTGCTCTTCCTCCCCTCTCCTGTCCCATCCCGTCAGTTTTTCTCAACTGAACGTTTTGTCTTTCCGTCTCTGCAGCCGTGGCCGTCGTGGGGGAGCCCATCACGGAATCCATCGCCCACGCCATGGCTTCGGTGGGAGGCCGCCTCTACCTCTCCGGGGGCTTCAACGGGGTGGCCCTGGGGCGCATGCTGGCCCTCTCGGTGCCCCACGACCCTTGCCTGATCTTCTCCAGCCCCGAAGCTTGCAATGGCTCCAACGCCAGCTGTGTCTGGTGCCACGCCAGCTGCCTCTCTGCAGATGCGGCTGAAAGGTACGAGAGAACATAGGTCATATTTAACTTGCAGCAGTTCATTTAGTGACTGCTCAAAGTTACAGCCGGCACCGATGACCATTTTTCACACTTAACGGCCATTGGGTCAATCACCAGGGAGACTGGGAGTTCTAGTTCTGCTTTAGCCATGGAAACTAGTTGGGTGGACTTTGGGCCAGTTTTCAGGAGGTGGTGACTTCTAGTCCTATCTAAGGCATGAAAATGGGTTGGGTGACTTTGGGCCAATCCCTAGGAGACTGGGAGTTCTAGTTCTGCTTTAGCCATGAAAACTAGCTAGGTGACTTTGAGCCAGTCCCTTTCCCACAGCCCTAAGGAAGGCATCAATGGCCAATCACTTCTGGAAATGATTAGAAATGGACGTGGAGTTTGGTCCACGATTGAATCTCACGGTTTCTCTTCTCTTCGTGCAGACAAGGCTGCCCCTTTGGTGGGATCTCCTGCTTTCCCACCCCAAGGTCTCCAGACGAGTGTCGCCGGCTCAGAACTTGTAGCGAGTGCCTCGCCCAACATCCTCGCGCCATGGCCCACAGCCTGGGTATTCCCGTAAGTAGCGGCACTTAGAGACAGTACTCAGATAGACAGGGGATCACCAGTCTTTTGATCCTGCACTCACTTGGCAAGGAGAAGTAAGAGAGATGGGGTTATAATGGCAGCATGTAGGCCTAGTGTGACCAGCCTGTAAAGAGAAATTTGGGGGAGGGGGGATATAGGCAGTGGAGAATAGCTGGCTGGGGAATTCTGGGAGTTGAAGTCCCCATATGCTTCCTGGGGAACTCTGGGAGTTGAAGTCCACACATGCTTTCTGGGAGTTGAAGTCCACACATGCTTCCTGGGAATTCTGGGAGTTGGTCCACACATGCTGGCTGGGAATTCTGGGAGTTGAAGTCCACACATG